ATTCATAAACTTGATTTAGTGACTAAAATAGAAGTTTACGAAAATTGAAGGTTGGCGGGCATGATTATCCCAAGAGGGAAATTACAGAGACACCCCTCACCAAAACGACACCGTTTTGGTGAGTATATATACCCTTTAAACTAGCCCTAAGGGCCCTCGTCGGAGGGAATTCCGGCAACTGCCGGCCATCGTGCTCCAGTGGTGATCGCCGCCGCCAGCCACCATACACGGTGGTCAAATTTTACAAAAATACCCCAAAATGAAGCCCTGACTCATGGCCGAATCCGACCTTAGTTTTCCCTAAAAAACTCCTGATAAAAGTAGATCTAGAGAAATACCTTCGGGTATTTCAAAGGTTTCGTCGGTGTGTGTCAGAGCGTAGCATCTCCGGTCACCGTGTGGTTTCCTCGGTAAGCTCTCTCTCTTTTCTTTCTTTCTGTTTTGTGGATTTGGTGGTTTTAGTTGTTGTCTTCTTTTCGTTCTTGCCTCTCTTTTTTCAGGTGGTCGATGGTTTTTATAGCTATCGACGGTGTTTACTTCAGATCGGTCTTATGGGTGACTTTCAGTGAGTCACCAAACCTATGGTGGTGACTCACCTAAGAGTGGCGATGTGTGCGGCTGGAGTTGGGATATCCAGAACCTTCGGTTGGAACGTGGCAGTGGCGTGAGCAACATGTCAGAGAGGCAACCGTCGTCGTCCCTAGGGTGATGATACCCTAGGGTTTCATAGTTTAAGGCTTTGGGTCGTTGGATCTGGCAAGATCCAACGGCTGATGGCGTTGGCGGTTGGATGTTGAGATATAAACCCTAATCTAGTTTAGGGTTACATATTTGGGCTGGTTCAGGTATCTGGACCGGGTTGAGCTTATGGGTAATATAACTGGGCCTCCGGTTCTTGATATGTAAATGGGCCTATAATATAAATTTAATAATAATAATAATAATAATAAAATCATAAATAAAATTAAATGGGGAAAAACTAGTGTCTACAGTATGCATCTTGTAACTCATTAAAAATATAAATTTAATTAATTTGAGTTAAAAGATACTTTTTTGCTTTTCAAGAGCCATAAAGTACACCATATTTGGATTAGGGATGAGATTTAAATTTGATGGTTCTTATTTCTTGTCACCATTAAGTTTTTCAAGTTTATCTCAAAGCTCTTTGGCATTTGAACATGTAGAAACGCTTTCATATACATCAGGAGTAAATGTACAAAACAAAATATGTGTAACCAGTTTTGTTAGAAGTTCTTTCGTTTTTTGCCACTCCACTCATTTATCTTTCTTCATTGGAGAATGGTGCTCAATCATGATCATCTATCATGCTCTAAGATCAATAGATTGAATGAATAAATTTAGTAAGTTCTTCCAATGACCATAGTTAGCCCTATTGAAGTACGGAGGCTTGTCGATCGGTTGAGAGTTTACCACGTAGAATGAGTTGAAAGTGAAAGTCATCTTCTATATTAAACCATTATATGCATGTGTGTATGTGGATGTGTATGTGTGTGTGTGCGTTTATACGTAGTTGAGTACGTATGTATGTATATATGTGCATTTATATTCTTCTATACATATGTATGTACATATATGCATATGTACACGTATTCATATGCATTTGTACGTGTGTGTGAGTGTGTATGTGTATACATGTATGTGTGTATGTGTGTGCGTGTGTATGTGTGTATGTGTGTGTGTGTATGTGTATATATGTACATACATATATTTATATATGTGTATGTATATGTATGTGTGAGTCTGTGTGTATGTATATGTAAATGTGTATGTGTGAATCTGTGCATATGTATGTGTAAATGTGTGTGTGTAAGTGTGTGTGTGTGCATATTCATATGTATGTATAAGTGTACGTGTGTATGTGTGCATGCATACGTATGCATGTGCATGTGTGCTTATGCATACGTGTATGTGTGCGTGCTTGTGTGTGTATGCATATGTGTATGTGTGCGTATGTACGTGTGTGTACATGTTTATGTGTGTGTGTGTGTGTGTGTGTGCACGTGCCCTTGTGTACGTGTGTGTATGTTTACATGTTTACGTGTGTGTCAGTCTGTATGTGTGTGTACATATGTATGTGTGTGTGTGTTTGTATGTGTATACATATGCGCGTGCATGCGTTTATGTATGCACGTGTGTATATGCGTGCGTGCACAAGTTTACGTGTTTGTGTATGTGTGCTTATATGTTTATATATGTGTACATGTGTACATGTACGTATGTGCATATATGTTTGTTTGTGATTGTGCGTGTGTGTGTATATATGTTTATACGTGTATGTGTACATATGTTTATATGTGTATGTGTATGTGCATATGTGTACATATATATATGTGAGTGTATACGTGTGTTTACATGTGTATATTTGTGTATGGATATGTGTGTGTATGCAAGTGTTTATGTGTCCGTGTGTATTTGTGTGTATTTGTGTACATATGTATGTGTATGTTTGCATATATGCGTGTATGCGTGCGTACGTGTGTGTATGTGTGCGCGTACGCATGTGTGCGTGTGTGCATACGTTTGCGTATATGGTTTTGCATGTGTGCAAGTGTATATGTGTGTGCATATGCGTGTCAGTGTGTGTTCGCGTATGTGCATACGTATGTGTGGGTGTGCGTATATGCGCATCTATGTGTACGTACATGTGTGTGTGCGTGCATTTGTGTGTGTGCACGTGCATTTGTGTGTGTGTGCGTGCATACATGTGTGTGTACGCACGTGTTTGCGTGTGTACTTGTGTGCGAGCACGCGTGTGTGTACCTACGTGCCTGTATACATACCTGCGTACGTGCATACACGTGTGCATGCATATGTATGTACGTGTGTACCGTAAGATTTGTAAGTTCACCATCCTTAATATAAAAGTATATGTTTGTTGTTGTCAATGACAAAATGTCAAGGGACTAGTGAGGCCGTAATCCCCCAAAAGTATTTAAAAATAGTAATATATATGTGAAATTATTTAGGGTTTGGGTATACGATATGAAATAAATTTTAGATTTAGTTTATGATTTAAGATTTAAAGTTTTACTAATTTTATACGATTTGATATATGAATTTTAGCTTACAGATGTTGAACATATAAAAATAATCAATAAAAATATAAAATAATTGGTGACTTAATGATATTTGAGATCCTCAAGCTTTTGAGATAATAAATTGAGTCCTTAAATTTTTCTTACATTTAATTTAATTAAGCTTTTAAATTTAAAAGATTAATTAATTTGATCTTTTGACTAGTGAAAATAACCGTTGATCCTTTTAATATTAATGTATCAATCTCTACCTGAATGATTATATGACTAAGTGATTAATCGAGTTTTGTAGAAAGTTTAAGAATTTATTTACTATTTAATAAAAATAAAATTTAAATAGTAAAAATATAGAAAAAAATATTAAATGTTAAAATATTAAAATTATTAAAAATAAAATTACTATTAATTTTTAAAAATTAAATAAATAAGAAAAATATAATATAACAAATTATTACAAAATTAAAAATATTAAATATACCAACAACCAGTTAGTGTAGTGAAACAGTTGGTCTATTGGAACAGTTGATCTAGTAGAACGAGACACTAGATTCCTTAAACAAAATCAAGAGTTTGAATCTTGACGTCTTATTGTTTCCAAAATTATTGAATGGTGGGGACAAACACACATGTTCAATAACGAAAATGGACCATTGAAACAGTTGGACAAACCCAATGGATAATTTGCAATTTGGTGTATTTTCTAGGTTTTCCAATTTCATCGTTAAATATTGATTTAATTAAATAAAATAAAATCTTTAATTATTAAATGAATTTTTATATTTATTGTCACAGTTATTATAATCTTTCCAAAAGATGTGTACGATAGTATATGCAGTGTGAATATTATTAAACATTCGTCACCTTTTTAAGACTTGATGTTCTTCCTCAAATGATCTAGTGATTTCCTTATCACGATTGTCTATCCTATTTAGTATGCATATTGAGACGCTTGGTGTAAAATCATGATGAAGCTACATCAGATTATTAATGATCAATGAAAATATTATTATAATTTAACTTTTTTTTAAAACTAAATGAATTTAGACTAGATTTGTTAAGCCTATGACATTTTTCGATGAAACAAACATCAGACTCACATTCGAGGCTAAAAAAGGAGTGGGCTGAAAATTTTGAGGTCCAACAATCATCGATGAAAACAATAATGACGACCGATGACGACAATGGTGACTGACGGCCAATGACAAATGATATTGGTCGAATTCAGGGTCAAGCTGATCTTTCATTTAGAGTTAAGGATTAAAATGATATTTTATCTAAAGTTCAGGAGTTAAATTAAAAATAATCTCTCTTTATTGTTATGCCACATCATCGAACCGACATGAATTAACGATCAACGATAGAACAATGTATGAATATAAAATGTATGTACAAAATTCAACAAAATCCATAACACAAATGATCAAAATGTGACTATCTTAAAATCAAAACTAAAAGTAAACAAAAGTGACTATACCGATAATTTACCGTAAAAAAATTGTAAAATAAATATTATAAAAAACTACTATAAAACAATAGGTAGATGGAAAGTAACTGCTGGCAGTGGCTACCAACATTATAGTTAACGTCAACGTAAAGTAGTAGTATCCTTTTGTTGTATTATCATTCATCATCCAACCACCATTCCACCAAAATATTCCAGCTTCCCTCTTTTGCCTTTATTGCACTCAATCGCCTCCTTCACTACCCCTCTCTCCTTTCATTAGTGACCTAAACGAAACTACAAGAATAGTGTAGTGACTAAAAAAATAGTTTACCCTATTTTAAACAAACAATGTGATACGAGTATAGAATTAAATAAATGAAAAAGAGCATTAAATCCCGTAAGAAAAAAAAAAGAGAAAAAGCAAACCCACCACTATCTCCTCCACAAGTTCACCCTAAACCTACCCTATATTTACATATCGTGAAATCATTGCCACTAATATGGCTTCGATGCCCAAGTTCTCTTACCAGAGGCTGACCAACGAAGAAGAAACATCAATCCGATTCAAGAGCGAGAGGAAATGGTCGAGGATCACCATTAGAAAGCGACCGAAGCTCAGAATTCCGGGGCTAAGAAGGTTCCTCAGAAGGAGAAGCCGAGTTTTCTTGAGGCTTAAGCTTTCATGGAGGAAGGCTTTGGAAAGGCTGAAGAATGGACAGTCTCACATGAACGATTTGTACGGTGGGAATTTCCTGGTTATGCAACATAACAACACTCCTTTCGAAACTGGAAAGAGCCCATTTTAGGGTCCATCAATGGCTTCCATGGAAGGTTGCTTGCAGGAGAAGTATATGATATTAATGTATGATCCTTGATCAAGACTGTGGTTTTATGTTCTTTTTTGCTGTTTGTAATTTGATTGTCCACAAGTGTTATATAGTAAATATCAATGTATCTGGTTTAACACCATTGTGAGGGACTGGGGGGCCTTTTCAAGGAAGTTCTTACGGATAGGGTAAACTATCCACATCATCATCTGATTATCAGTTAGTTCTTATTTGGGTAACCTAAGTTTAAAATGTTATATAATGGCCACTTAAATTATCAAAAAAGTTATAAAATAATCACTGTTGGTTAATTTTCAGACAAAAACTGATGTGATGGTTAATAAAATCAATATGATAATAAGTTTATTCATTAAATTTTACACATTATTTTAATTTAGTCATGATTCTAAGAACTCTCTCAACATTTAAATATTGTCACAATTATTTTCCAACCGTTTAGTATTTTCTTTAAACTCAACATGTTTGGTAATGAACATCAAAATTTATACTGCATAGTTATGAGTTTTTTTTCAAGTGTTTAAATATAATATTTTAAACATACACATATTAAGTGATTGAAGACAATGCTCATACATGTGTTTTGTTATTGTCGTTCGACCCAACTTATGCTCACGCAAACACGTATCTTCAATTCACACTATACATATTTATTCTTTTTGGACAAAATTCTCATAATTCTTTATCATTTTTGTCTATTTTCTCATTTCTTTCATTTTGGTCCAAACATATAATCAACTCTTGTAATTTTACATTACATAAAAAACACGACCTACAAGGAACATTGACATTATATGCCTTTTCTTTTATGTGACACAAAAAAATTTAATCCGAAAAAATAATATGGAAGAATGTTAATCCCGAAAATAATTTTTGTCATGGTGATATTTGAATAGTGAAACCTTGCTTGGGAGCAGTGCAAAAAAGTCATATGTAGAAATATTAAAATTTAAGACAACGCCCTTATAGCTCGGTGTTAAAGCGTCAGTCTTGTAAACGGAAGGTCCGTAGATCGATCCTGCGTGCGAGGGCAATACTGAAATTAATTGATCAGTATTAGCCATTTTTACATATGAAACGACGTTGTTTTTGTGCTTCCCTAAACCTTGGAAACCCCTCTTCCTTTAAACCCTCGACACTCATCTTTCTTCTATGCGTAAACATGGCATATCTCATACACAAACTATCCAGAAACAAATCCACTCAAAGACTCTTCATCTCTTTCAAATCCCCACATCATCATCACCAACTCCCTAAACTCACTCCTCCGCTTATCCCCCAACAGCCCCACCATTTTTCATTGCCCAAATCCCCAAGATGGCAACTTTACTCAACCTTCGAATTTCTTCCCCAGTTTCCCACTTGGGTATTTCTTGAATCCCATTAGCTCAACTAGGTTTGATCCATTGTTGGAAATGGTATCGAGGAAGGGAAAAAAGAGACCGATGATGATGCTGGAAAAGTCCGGGCTGATAGTGTAAAGAAGAAGATGAACATGAACAAGAACAAGTACAAGAAGCTGAGGAAGCGTCTGAGAAGAAAGACATAGGCTTTCTCTATGGGGAAGTTGTATTACTTCCTTTGAATTTTTTTTTCTCAAAGATTTTGGAATTAGTTGATAGACATAGCTTGATTTGATGATTGGATGGAATGTTGAGGAATTTTGCATCTTTTGATCAATGATTAGCTGAATTAAATCACAAAATTAACTAGAGACTTGCTTATTTCCTTGTGTTTGGAGTTTACTTGGTTGTCTAAATTTGGCATAGATGAAGAAATGCTTGTCTGCAAAATATTCTCAAATACTGCTGTTTTCTGATATTTGATTTACATATTTTACGTGGCAATGATATCCTTTTGTCAAATCATCAATTGAAACGAGTGTTGCTATGATAAGGATGTTTATGTAGTCACTGGGAAAGTGGAAGAAGTTTATTAAAGGCAAATTCATTTTCATATGATTTTTCTGATATTTTTAGTAGTCCGCGGGTCTTGAGTTGATGTCCATTCTTTATACGGTTCTCACTCGCTTTGATTTACATATATCCATTTTGACAATGAATATTCTGTTGTCAAGTATCATGTTTTGAATGAAATGAGTGTTGCTAGGGTGGTGATGTTTAGATGTTCACTTGGGAAGACCTAGAAGAGTATATGAGGTGAATCATTGAGTTGTTTCAGTTGTTTAAGGGGATGTCGTTCTCCTTTAAGGTTCTGGATTCAAGCAATTATATTTGTAAGTTATATGCATTATCAATGATTAAAAAAGATTATGAATATATATTATTTTATAATACTATTAAAAAAAAGGTATATGAGGTCAAACATTCTCCTATATTGTTGTTTCCTGTTATGTTTTTCGCAGTATGAGCGTCTTTGAGTTGATGTCCAGGTCTCACTCGCTTTGCTTTTTTACGTGCATTCTTTTTGACACTGATATTCTGATGTAGAATTATCAGCTTTTTGGACAAAATCTTTGTTGCTACTGATAGGATGTTTAGTTGTTCACTAGGAAAGACCAAGAAAAAATTCAAATTCGAGTCTAGTTATAAAATAAGATTCGAATAACTTAAAATTTTTAGTAATTAGTAAATAGTTTTTAAGTTTTAGTCGAATCCCTTAATTTTATATATATATATATATATATATATATATATGATCACATATGAAAAATATATATGCATTGTATATGATTATATAAAACAATAATATCATAATATTATCAATATTTACAATTAAATTTAAAGAGAAACTTGAACAACTCGACCCGACTTAAATTTATAAACTTGATTCAACTAAAAAAAAAATCAAATAAAATTTGAGTTATAAAATAGAATTTCTCAACTCGAATAACTTAATTTTTTTTTAATTTAACTCGACTCAATTAAAAACTCTTCACTACTTTTAATAGTCCAAAGGTGTTGAGTTGATGTCAATTGTTAAATGTTAGCACCTAATTTCGTCTGAGCCAAACTGAACCAAGTCCAATCCCTACACTCGTGCCTACCAAGGCCCAAACTTTTAATTTCACTCGTAATTCATCTAAAAACCATTAATCTGTTTGTTTAGTGGAAAACGATTTACGTAAAATGTTTTCTGTGTTTCTCGTGTTTGGTTCAAGAAAAACTATTTAGTCAAAAGGAAAATGTTTTACGGTCAAAGGAAAATCACTCTCTTTCTCGCGTAAAACAACTTACCGTTTAAAAAGTGGCAAGTCATTTTACAGTTTCACCTTCAAAGCTCTTAACACTGAAAATAATCTGATCGTCACGTACTTCTCACCGACGACGATCACTCAGGCTGGTGTTCATCTTTTCAGGTAACCAAAATATTGTTACCCTTTTTATAATTTCAGAGCTATGCTTCTTTGTGAATCATTTTCATTTTGAAATAAGCATTTTTCTACCTCTCTTCTTGTGTATTTACTATTATTTTTCTGCTTCTTCATCTATTTTCTTGGTTTTGGTTAATGAATACATCTGGCGCAACAAAGCATAAAAAAGCTAAGCTTTATTTATTTCTTGCAAAATTTAACTAATATATATATATTTATATATATATATATTGTTTGTGTCGATTATTGTTTCGATCCTCCCTGCATATTTTTTGTCCTATTTTCGAATAATGTTTGTGGGTTTTTTGGTTGATTCTTCAATTTTATTGGATTTTTTAGTTAATCTAGAGGTTGGGAAGGTTTGATTTTTCATTACCCACAATGAGAAAGCTTTATAGGATATGTTGATAAAAAATCCATTGACAAGTGTAAAAACTTCTGAAAGGGTGTTTTGTGATAGAAAATGGATTATCTCATTTCTTGCAATCCTACTTGTATCGATTACTTTATTTTTCTGTCTTTTTGGTTGTACAATGCTCCTTACAGTGGAGATCAGTTGTTATTCAACGTTATTTCCTTTGCTAGAGCAGAGGACTTTGATGGGTATTTTGTATAATCGGATTTAAAGAAACAGTTTAACACTAGTGTATATGCAAACATGGAAGCACCTAAACCTATATATCTTATCTCGGGGATGAAGGAAGATAGTCATAGGATGATGAGGACCTTGCAGGCAGTGTATCATCCCAGGAATCAATATGTTCTGCATTTGGATCTCAGAGTCACTTCTTGTGAAAGGTTGGAATTGAGTAATATGCTATGGATTGATCCGACTTTTCATGAAGTCAAGAATGTGCCTATGATGATGCAGTCGAAGTTGGTAATATACAAATGTCCCGTGATGGTTCTCTGTATCCTTCAAGCAATTGCAGTACTCTTGAATGAGAGGTTGGAGTGGGATTGGTTTCTAAATCAGAATGCCTTTGATTATTTCCTTGTGACTAATGATTGTTTGTGCTAAGACTTTGTCTCTTTTGCCTCTTCATTATCAAGGTTGTTCCTTGCTATTATTGTATAAAGGATTTAGAGAACAATGTCATGCTTGTAGTGTTAATTTTAGCTTTGAATTGACTATGAACTTTGCTTGTTACCACCTAATGTTATTAGGTTTACTCTAATTCTTTACAGTATTGGAACAAAATTACATGCTTGCTACTCTCTTGAGCTTCTTTCGTTCTTGTGTGAGATTTTTTGAACTAAAGGTCTACACTGTGAAAAGGATTTTAAAGAGAGTGGATGGTTATAAGTTTATAACTTACATTTGTTGGTGTAGAGTTTTTTCTGAAATAGTGAGCTAAATTGTTTGTGCTCTTTCTAGCTTACTTACCAAAGATTATAATTTTTTAACAATAAAATTAATTTAATAAAATAAGAAAATTCATGAAATGGATATGAAATATGCACGATTGTTTAGTGAAAATAGATTTCGGAAATTGTTTTTAAAAAAATTAATCGAACAGTGAAAAACATTTTACACTGTATCATCCAAACAATAGAAAATATTTTTTAAAAAATATTTTTATTTTTCAGAAAATATTTTCAGTGAAACAAACATACCTTAAATCTC